TAAGTACTTGCTGGAAACAAAGGGCAAAAGTTCTGTGGATGAAAGAAGGTGATATGAACTCCAAATTCTTTCATGCTTATGCAATGGCGAGAAGGAATAATAATTGAATTAATCAAATCATGGATAGTAAGAAAGTTTTAATTGAAGATCAGAACCGAGTTGTGGATACTTTCTTTGACTTTTTAAAGACAAATGGAGGGAGCGGAAGTGTGTGCTTAGTGGCTGGCCATCTCCTTCATCTAGGCTTGAAGAGTGTGATAGAAAACTATTAGATATTGATTTCTCTAAATAACAGCTTGAGATAGTGATCAATTAGTTGGAGGCTAATAAAGCTCAATGTAATGATGTGATTAATTATTCCTTTATTAAAGCATATTGGTCCATTATCAAAGAAGACATTTGGAGGGCTGTTGATTCTTTTTTCACTTCTGATAAAATGTGTGCTGAATGGAAGGAAATGATAGTGGTGCTCATCACAAAGGTGAAAAATCCTTTGACTCCTTCAAATTTTCATCCTATAATCCTTTGTCTGTCGATTTATAAGATTTTGGCAAGGATGTTGTTAAATAGGTTGAATCGTTACATTCCTAAAATTATTTCTGAGGAGCAATTTGCCTTTGTGAAAGGACGCTCTATGTCTAATCATATTTTGCTAGCCCAAAAGCTTTTTAATAAATATAGAAATTCAAAATCTAAGAAAGGGATGATGGTGATAAAGATTTATATGGAATAGGCTTATGATATTATGGGTTGGTCTATTCTAAAACAAGTGCTAGTTTATTTCAGTTTTCCTTCGAAGTTTTCAAATCTATAACTTGAATGCGTGATGATTCTGAAATTCTCTATTTTGATTAATGGTAGTAAATCTGATTGGATAGAGGCTAAAAATGGGTTTAAACAAGGGTGTCCCTTATCTCCCTTTCTTTTCATAATGTGATCTCATTTGGTATGAGATGCTTTTGCTCAAAGAGGGAGGAGTATTGGTATTAAGGTGGCTCTTATTGCTAAACAAATATCACATTTAATATATGCAGATGCACTAACATTTTTTTAGGCTAATTTCAGAAGTGTGAAAAAGTGAAGAATATTCTTAATTATTATTGTAGATGGTCTAGTCAAAAGATCAATATCCTAAAATCATCTATTCTATTTGGGAAGTCGGTTAAGAGAAGACAAACGAAGCCTTTATTCAAATTTTTGGGCTTCAAGGTGGTGACTGAAAAGGAATGTCTTGGTAATAAAGTTGCTTTAAGAAGATTGGTCTATTCTGATTTTCAAGTTCTTTTAGAGAAAGCTTCTAATAGATTGAATGTTTGAGGAAATAGGTTCATTTCTCTTGCTGGAAAGTTCCAACTTGTTAGATCAGCTTTTCTTGCACTTCTATTTTTTTATTGACACATTCATTAATTCCAATGGGGGTTTTGAATGAGTTTGATAAAATGTGTAGGAATATTTTATGGCATAAGTTTGACGGAACTAAAGGACTCCATTTTGTTGCTTGGGAAACCTTGTGCAAGCTGATAAGGAGTGGTGGATGTGAGTTGTAATCTGCTGTTCTAAAAGTTGGTCCTTTGAGGGCTAAATTTGCATGGAATTTTATTTCTAAGCCTGGATCTCTTTTGAATAGTATCTTGTTGTCTAAGTATGGAAGTGATATTTGCAACTCTGAGTATAAGGCTATTCATCTTCTACTTGAAAATTTATTTTGAATGGAGCCAAGTTCCTTCATTCTATTGTTAGATGGAAGATCTTAACTGGTTCAAAAATTAATATTGTTAATGATATATGGATTATGGATAACTATATTAAGATGTGGCCTACTTTTGTTGCGAAATGATCAGACGGAATATCTTGCGGCCGTCATCAAGGATGTAAATTGGAACACGGATATGCAAAAGCAATTTTTTTGCTAGGATCTGGTTGAGCTAATAATGACCATACCTATACATTCTGATTTACAAAGAGACAATTTGGAGCTCTTATTCAAATATTTGAGTAAATCGATTTCTGCTTTAGCGTTGGACAGACCTTATATAGATAAGGGGGAAAATTTGGATTGGAGCTGGATTAATAAACTCAAACTTAAGCCTCCCATTGAGTTATTTTGGTGGCTGGACAGACCTTATGTACATGAATGCTCTACCATCAAATTACTTTCTTATGTATAGAAGGTTAATGGATTATGATGGCTGTCCAAGAGGTTGTAAAAATGTTGAAAATACTGAACATATGGTTGTAAAATATGATAAGTTATCTCAATTTTTTCGTATTCTCAATAAATGGGGATTTACTCTTTCAATTCTTAATTCTCTTAAGGAATGTAAAAATGTTTTGAAGCAGCTTGCATCTTCTGATCCATTTACTGGTAATTTACATTGTTCTGCCTTGTTTTTTTTTTGTTGGAAAAGCAGAAGTAAGATAGTTCATGGTGGGTTTAATGATAACGATGCAGTCATAGCAACTAATTCTATCAATTTTTCGATTGCTTCTTTTCAATCTAATCAAATTTGGGAGGTTAAGGTGTTAACGAGTTGTTGCAACTATCTTGATTTTCTTGGCACCCTCCTCCCGGATGGATTATTTGTTAATGTTGATGCATCCTTGATGAGTTCAAACAAAGCATGAATAGGCGGTGTACTTATAGACTCCAAATGACTATTCTTATGTGCTTTTTGATTCATTTGTCTCCATTGGGATTCTGCACAATTGGTAATCTTATCTATTATTTCTTTGAGGAATGTTATACAATAATGGATGTTTGAGGCTAAAGGAATCATTATTGAAGGTGATAATTATAATGTCATCAAATTGTTTCAGGATATGCTGATCAAGAAAGAAGTTAAAGAGGAAATCTTAAATCCAAAGGATTTAGATTTTCTTAGAGATTTCAACCAAGTTTTATTTTTTTTCTCTGTTAGGGATTGTAATAATTTAGCTGATTTTTGTGCTAACTATGATCTTTTTGTCTAATTTTTTTGGGGATAATTGCAATTGGAATAATATTCCTCCTTCCTTTGTGTCTATGTTAAAGGAGGAATGCGAGACTTGTAGTAGGTTGTAATTTCTTGTTTTTAATAAAATGCTTAGAGCAATTCTTCAAATATATATATAGTCAATTCATCTCCTAGTTGTTTGTTTATTTTTATTAAATAAAAATTTACAAATTTTAATGACCCAACCCCGGAGAGCCACATACTAGATAAAATGCCATTATTGAAAGGATCTTGATGAAGCTATGATGAAATGGGAGCTATAGCATAACAAGGTACAATACGAGTAGCATTATTTATAAATTGATGTTGACTTTGACTCATCATTATTGTCTAGCCTCCTCTGAGAGGAACGAGATTTAAACTTAAGTTATCACCTCCTACGCATGCAATCTACTGAAGAAATGTTTATAGTATGCTGAGAATGATTTCTCATATACAATCTCAGACTGTTACATACATAAAAAATTTGATGGAATAAAATATGTGTTTTATATTTTAGTTTTATAAAAAAATTCAAAACTCACCGGTTAAAGTTAAGAGAAACCAAAATTTAGTTTGGAGAAAGCCCAAGAAAGATAATAGCCAGAGGGCCAATCTTGCTCACAATCAAAGAAGATGGGATTATATGTAAATGAGACCAATTATCTGATTCTCGTTTTAAGGATTGCAAAAACTAGGAATCCACAAGCAAATAATTAAAGCCCAACATTAAGATTAGAGATTAACAATCAAGCATTAATAATAATCAAATAATGACGTCTTGTTATGATGGCAACAATTACTGACGATGGTCTTCTGTGGTAATCATAAAAATATATAATATAACTCTTTACTTCTCTAAGCTCTCCAACCTGCTCTATATAGTGGAACAATTATTACGTCATCTGACCGGACGTAGAGCTACGTTCGGCCACCAATAATATGTCGCCATGTGCTCTTACTCTTTACCGCGCGGCCCGACGACTTGATCCGGACCGGAACCCGGGAATGCTATGTTCACGTATTGCGAGATATTACTCGGTATTTGCTCGGTATTGCTCGATATTGCTAGGTATTGCTTAACAATAACGAGAAATACCGCTCTGTGAAGACAAATACCGAGTAATACCGAGAAATACCGAGTTTTTCTAGAAATACCGAGTTGTACGAGTTTTTCTAGAAAAACTTGGTACAATTCGGTATTACTCGGTATTTGCTCGGTATTGGTTATTGCCGAGCAAAATCGACCAATACCTAGCAATACCTAGCAAAATCGAGAAATACCCAGCCATCCTGGGTCCGTTCTAGGTCGGGTTGTCGAGCCGCGCGGTAAATAGTGAGAACACGTGGCTCGATTCTACTGGCGGCCGAACGTAGAGCTACGTCTTATGACCGGACCAAATAAAAGTTCCTATATAGTGAATGTAACCCGATTAATAATTGTTTAATGTGAGTATTTTGATAAATTTGATCAAAATCCAAAGTGCTTAATCAAATTATCAAATTTGATCCATTTCATCATAAATTATTTATCCAACATTGTAGCTCCTTAATGATGTCAAAATAGAATGATTTTATGCTCGTTGGATTTATCTTGTCAAGATGCTCAAATTGACCATAACAAATAAAATTTGAGGATCATTTGATCCATCAATTCGTATTAAGATATTTTTAAATATGCTTCAAATGTTTGATCGCAATTCACTTGGATCCATATCAAATCATTTGAATTAACCATGTGTCTATGTTGTCAAAGACATTCAATTCAACTAAAATTTATTGAAATCCATAAATACTATCTTTAGCTATGACTGTACTTTGATGAACTAAAGATTATTAACCCATAAAAACTCTAGGTTCTGATGTGATTTATTACCCTTTTACCTCTGAGTAATAACTTTTAATGAGATTAGCGCAGTGCATTTGAGGTTTCTGCATCATCTGGTGTTGAAGGCCCTCAACCTCTTGCATTATTACAGCATTTAAGATGTTTGATGCACATGTAACTTATTGCTATTATGCAGCATATAACAAAGGCAATGAGCATTATTTCTAGGATCATCAACATATGTAATGCATACTAATACTACGCTTTTTAAACCATATATCACCATACATATGTAGATATGTGTACTCGTATGAGCCATTTACAGTGGACAAATGGGATCAGTAATTCCCTGTGCACTTGCTCTATGCTTGCAATTAACTTCAGTACCATAGCCTTTGCTCTTGCAAATGGTTAGAAGTAGCATGCAAGAATAAATATAATAATACAGGGTAAAATTTTTTTACTGGTATTACCATCTTTGGCGGCGCCTCCCATACCAGTAAGCAAAAGCGGCGACAGATAAAGCAACGGCGACACCCGCAGTAGCTTGCCATTCATATAGTGGCTTATGAAGAACAAGCCCATTGTTTCGCTCTTGATGTCGACCGACATTTGATACAAATTCAACTCCCAACTTTTCTACCTCTCCTTTGTCTTGGGCTACCATCTTGAGTTTAACAGCATTTGCAATTGCCTCATACTCCTCTCTGTTCCCTCCCTCAAGGAAGGCACCTACAATCCTGCCCTTATTGACCCAATATGCACCAAATCTTCCTGCAAGGAAATCTCCATAATGAATTACTTCTCCAGTATTATCTCCATAGAACTGCCAAGAAAGTGTGAAGACTCTAGAATAGAAGAAAGGCAGGTAATCAAAGTCGCTTGTTTTGTCAGGTGACAAAATAGCTGAAACAGCATGCCTTGCAGACTTACGAGCAGAATCCACATGTTCGAGCCGACGACATTCATTGCCAAATAACTTGACAGGAAAGGTAGCTACATCACCAACAGCATAGACGGAACTGTTACTACTCTGCATTCTACCATTAACTTTGATTCCACCTTTCTCAATAACCAGCTGACCCTCAAACAGGCCTGTATTTGGACGGATTCCAATGCCCACAACAACCATGTTTGTAGGCACTCGCGTTCCATCTCTGAGGACTACTGCTGTTACCTGTGGATATGATAGAAACAATGGCCAAGATCAAATTAATAATGTTTTGCTGGATTCTGGATAACTGTGGAAGAGTTTATTTGCACGCTAAATGGTTCCTATAGAATCTATAGGATGAATAGAATGCGGAAACTTCGATTTTACTCACGATATCAAAAATTCGTACAACTTCCCACTTATATTTATACGGCATTAGTGGAGAAAAACGTGCCTTTGAAGAACCAGGGCATAATTTATATTACAAAAAAGAAATTCTGATCTTAAGTTAACACATTATCCAATTCAAGCCTTATCCACAGCTCAGGCACCTAGCAAAAACAAGCTTCCTTTCTTTAAATAAATATCCCAAAAATTCAGCTGCAGAAAAATACGTCTGCATCAATGGTTGCAGCTTGAAACTGCTGCTAACTAAGGTAGGAAGTCTGAGCTGCCACGTGTTTTTAATGTATTAGAGTCCAAAGTATAGAAAAAACTATCAACAAAGTATCTTATGAACACTGTGTGCGAATACATAATCTAGACTAAGGCCTCATTTGGGACAGCTTTCTTGTTGCTTCATAAAACAGTTTTTATAAAAAAATAAAATTTTTATACTAAAAAGCTGCTTTAAGAAGCAACAAAAAAGTCATCCTTGATGAACATCTCATTATCTAAGATTCTAATTAGGAAAGAAAATAGCAGAGCTATACCACTAATTACAAGTATGATTAAATAGGATTTGCTTTTTTAGGAATTCTATAAATTACCTTTCCATCCGAATAATTTTCAAATGATGACAGTACAGTTCCCTTTATGAAATTCACTCCTTTTGACTCATAGTAGGCCTCATAAAAATCAGCAATTTTCGGGGTGAACAGACGTGCCACTGCAAAAGAAATAGCAATTTATCATCAATCAAGCTGAAAGAAACAAAGAAACATATTCTGTACCTATTAGTGCAGAAGTCAGAAATTCACTACTCACTACAATGTGCCTCGGGGAAGACCATAGTTACTTTTATTCTGTTTGTGACCAAAGCAGCCGCACACTCCATCCCTATGTAGCCCCCACCAATGACAACAGCATTTTCTTCGTTGCATGTTTGCATTGTGTTCACAAGCCTAGTTGCATCAGCTAAATTACGTAAATAACAAACATTTTCAGCATCTGATCCCCTCACTCCAAATTCTTCAAGCTTCAAAGCCTATGTAACAGGGCATTAAGTTTATGCTAGGAAGGATAAGGACCACCAAGTTTCATGCTTTTAATTAAAAAAATTTTAAATGCATTTAGATTACAACTAACTACCCTAGCTCCTGTTGCAATTATAAGAGTCTTGTAGCTTATTGTTTCCCCAGTAGCTGTAGTTAATGTCTTGCGATTCACATCGGCAGACTTCACCTGTGTTCCTAGAATAAGTTCAATGCCTGAAAAAGGATTCAGATTTTTGAATCAATTAATTTCATATAAAATGTACAAAAATCCTTAATCGTTATCATAATCCAACACTCCATAAATTGATTGGCAGCAAGTGCGATTGCATATTGGCTATATGATACAAAATCTTGGAATATTTCAGCATGCATGATATCAATTAGGAATTTAAAGAAGCACTCCATATATTAAAAATGGGCCAAGAAGATGTTATTCTCACATTCAACTATATGAACATAATGAAGGAGAAACTACATCCTTCCACTTCTGCTAAAAATTTATGAACGTTCGTTAGTAAATGATATCATAAAATAATAAAAACAGGACTTTGTTGACCATAAACATTATTTATTGTTGTTACAATCAATTTATGACGACCTAAGTTCATGAAAAGTAAATTTTATACACCATCAATGAGAATGTATTGAAAAAAATTCAGAGAAGGACCAGCAAATCTGTGTTGGTCTGGTAGCATTAGAGCTTTGGTTATGATTTATATAAAAAGCAAAGGACACTAAGAATAAAGATATTTATAGCATAGAACTATGTGATGTGAAGATGCTAGTCTTTAGCAGTGAAACATCTACCATCGATGATGCTCACAGTCAAAACTGATAAATCGGTTTCAAATTATATTCACAAGAATGTCAGTTTCTGATATTGAAAGCCACCCTTTTGGGCAGAAATATATTTTCTATATAAACAAAAATTTTGTTTCATACAGAAATACACATAATATCAATCTACAGACAGGATTTAATAATATCTAATCATGAGTAGAAAAATAGCAAGCATGTGGTCTATTCGAGAGTTAATGTTTTGAACATTCCTTCTACTTATTATGATCTTCTACAAGCTAATCCTTGTGCAGTTGCCTAGAAACAAAGATTTACTATTATTGTTAAGTTACCAAGTGATAGTCACCCTCGCTCATTAATAGAGTGGTCAAGGGTCCAAACACAAAATTAATTAAAAAAAAATGCAAATAAAGATTTAGAATAACGGCAGAGTCTGGGAAAGGATGCATAAAAAAGGATTTGAATGAAATAGAAACCACTTGATAGCACAGGAAGCATCGTATTCTTACCCTGTTCCGTATACCATTTTGGAGTTAGTCTCTGATCATTAGAACCAACACAGGTATGAAATGCTGGAAGGCGTGCAGGAGCTGCAGCCAGCCAAGAAAAAATACGATCTCTATCATTAAGGTATAAAAAAATAGATGAACTGCATCAATTGTAATTTATCCTTGTAAAAAATTATAAGCAATTCATAACCTATCTGGAAGCAGAATTACGATATAAAAAAGGTAGATGCTTCACCGATTACAAAGAAGATGAAACAAGATGGATGACTACACACGCATCTCAATCTAAGGCTTCGTTTGGGACAACTTTTTTGCTGCTTCTTAAAGCAGCTTTCTAACATAAAAAATTTTAATTTTTGTACTAAAAAGCTGCTTTAAGAAGAAATAAAAAAGCCATCCCAAACGAAAATTAAATGTAGCATATTCAGCAGAGAGAATTGCAAGTCTATCAGGCTAGGTATGTTTTAGATTTAAACATATTAATAACAAAAGAAAGAAAATATGCTGATGCAAAGATTAAATAAATGAAAAGTAAAAGCTACATGACGATAACTTTATTTTACATCCTCTCAGAGTTTTGATCGTAACAGAATTAAAGAGTGAGACATTGTCTTTACATTATGACAAAAGACACATAAATCATAAAAGCACGTTATCGTGACAACATAGACATGACATGACAATATAAGCTAGAATTTGCATGTTTGGGACTTCATGTGCAGCATCAATTCTCATGGGTCAAAAATAACTCTTCCTTGCAGACTAATGAATGATTTGGAGGTGTAATAATTCCACATCATAAAAAAATATTTACAATAATACGAAAAATGTTCCTTAGAAGAGTTGAAAGTGTCATCCGGTAGAGTAGTAGATCAGGTCCTTCATGAAGGAGGAGATCAGGAGGTTCATATAGGAGAAGTAGGAAAAGAGAGTTGGAAGATTTCAATTCCACCATTAAGAGAGCACAAACTCAAGATGCTTAACATGTAATGGAATATTGGCATTCACATCCTCCACCAATTAACACTTTATTTAACATGAGGAACCTATGGGGTATCCTTGACCTCATGAGCCCATGTAATTTACGTATGGCTCACTATTGGTTTGATGAGCATAAACTGCATATGGTGTATCATCTAATATAATTAAGTGCTTATACAGCTTATAAATACTCACATATGAGCAAACCACTTGGTCAAGACATTATGTGTTAAATTAAGCTTGGAGCTTCGTTCACTTAAAAGATGAACTTAAAAAGAAACCTATCAGGAAAACTGAACTACGAAGTGCTGCTTTAGCCTCATTCAAGCTTAGTATCAAGATCTTAGTGTCACTAAACAAAATTTTCTAAGTTCAAAATTATATTGCATGCAGAGTGATAAATACAAAATAAAAATTAACTTAAATATACAATAAATATTTTATTATACATAAAATAATAATCAACCAAAATATATTGTAAATGCATTAAAAATTTATTGCTGAAGTTTTGAATAGCTTGCACACGCATAAAAGATAGAATTAATTTAATCAAAGAAATAATCCATAGACAAATCAATAATTTAAAATTATAACTAATTGTACAGTATAATATAAATTATCGTAAAGTATAATTTTGTTAAAATCAAATCAATCTGGGAAATTGCATTTATTAGATTCATCTATTAATTAACCATATGTTGTTGATCGTACAGCATGATCCTCAGCCCGTGTTCTAAATCAAGACAATCAAATTATACAAACTCTGATCAAACAGCATGATCTTCCAGTAATTTGAATTTTCAGTTGATGTCTTCTTTAATCGCTAATTGATTTTATTTTTTGGAAGGATAATTAATATCATGAACTATTACTAGACATACCACCATAAAATTGAACATAATATATGCATGAGAATTACCCTATAGTAAAAATCAAGTAAACAAAAAAATGCTTCTAGTAAGTCGTTCTCTCTCAAAGCTATTGCTCATCCACTTGCAAATTTATTTAAATAGTTTTGTTAGCATTTGTAAAAGTTATTACAGATCTCACCATGTTCATCATTAACTCAAAATCTACTGTACCTTCTTATAAAATGTTTCTTATTCAATATCTTAGGACTTATATTGAAAAGCTCTTATTGTGTTTATCTTGCAATAAAGTTTTGTGAAAGAGAGCCAATAAATCATTTCTATGTGATCTATTGAATCACATCCAAAGCTCAAGAGAATTTTGGTTTAATTCCAGAGATTATTTCCATCACCAAAAGGGTTATCCAATGAGTAATAATTGTTTAATTTAAATTAGGAATATTATGATTTAGCAGAAAGGACTAGGAGTAGCTTGTTTCTGATTTTGAAGTAGAAGTATAGGGAGTGTCCCTATTACCCATTAAGAACAAAGCTGGTGTAAGAAGATTCTCTGACTACTGATGGATTTAAAAAAAAGTAACCTGTGATAGGAAGCTTTAGTGAAGATATTTGTGCTATGTTGGGCTAGGCGTGCACCTAAATCTAGGAACACCTTAACCACATAAATATCAATAGTGTCAAATTGCTTAATATTTTAGTTTAATTGCACATTTATCTGTCATCAATATGTCTTCATTTTAATATGATGATCCAATTTATTATAAATTCATATGTTAAGTAATTCAATAAATATAATCATTGTGATTAATTAGTATATTATTCTCTAGTGTGCATAGCTATTTTTACATCATCATTTCTTATTTTGGACAATTGTGTTTTTGCTTCGATAAAGAATAAATTTATACAGTTATATTTAATATTGTGCCACGTTCATTGGCTTAATCATTAATTCACTGTCACAACAAATCAATGTGTTGCTATTTATGTAGAATTGGATTAATTGAATACAAGCCATTATGCATGACTTTAATTCTTTACACTTCAACGTATAACATCTTCTTGTATCTCTCTCCAACACATTAATTTGTTTATCTAATCAATACATTCAATTATCAACTTATGCTTGTTGATTTAATTGATATACTTCTTGCATTTATTGTTGCATGACAGTCATACCTACCATTACCTAATGACAATGAAGCTACAAGCAAGATTTTGTTAAGCAAGTTCATTGAAGGCCAGCATTCATCTTCTTGAAACAAGTTCAAAGATCAACAGACGGAGACAAAAGTTGGCTAATAGAAAACCAAAGGCATGAAGGTCTTCATGTTTCATTTGGATCAAAGATAAATGATGTGATCTTCAAGCACTTCAAATGAAAGATTATCTTCTTATTAAATAGATTAAAGATCAACAACATTTCAGAGGAAGGTGGATTTAAATCAACTCCTATTTAAAATTCAAAATTGCATGATTTGAGGGACTTCCCTAAAATAATCTTCCTCATTTAGGAAGTAAAATTCAAATTCAAATTAAATTGAATATAAATTTAAATAGTTTCCAAAATTAAAGGGAGCTAATTTAGAAAAGAATTTGAATGCTAGATTTTGAGTCTTGGAGCCAAGGGATGGATGATTGCCGGCGATTTAGGGAAGGGGATTGGGCTGGCAGTTGGGTGTCTTTTGGCCTAGGGTTTGAATGGAGTTTTTGGCGAAAATAAGGAGAATAATAATAAAAAAAAAGACAAAACCGTGAGCCTTGGACTCTTCCGAAAACTGAAGGGTGATACGTTGTCCTTCTCCAAGGAACTTCAAGCCACGAACCCGGACCCATCCTGAGGCTGGTGAAAACTCTGATTCCTTCCCATAGGAATCTCACTAACGTCCTCCCAAAAGAACAAGTGTATAACACAAATTTTATTATAATTCCATCATACCTAACATAAGAGAAGGGCCTCTATATTTAGGCCTCAAAAGAAACTAAAAGACAAATTTGCCCCTTGGGCTTACATAAGATAAGACTCCTAAATAAAAAGGGTAAAAAAAGAAAAATTGCAAAATTAAATCAAATTATAATTAATAAACTAAAATAAAACGGAGTGATCTTGGTCATCAATATTCAACTCTTCCTTTGAATATCATCCACCGTCGGATGTCCGCATCATTCTCCCAGGGTGGAAAAGAGCTCGACTCCATCAAGTTCGCATCCCGGGCAACCATGCTCTGATACCAAACTGATCTAGAATGGAGGGGGTCGGCCAAAAGAGGGGAAAAAGGGAAGGCGTCAACATATGATGAATGTGTCCACATACGATGAATGTGGACTTAAGGAATTTTCAAACTTGAATTATTAAGATAAGGAAAGGGGAATTATGACAGGTCTTTAGTTAACTTCAAATTGGGAGAAATAAGGAAAGCCTCATAATATAATTCATCCTATTTTAATAAAGAATTTCAAATTCAAATTAATTTAAATTTAAATTTAAAAACTTCCTAAACTTAAGATGCATCTAATAAGGAATGCTTTCAATAATCAATTTGAAGTGGAGGGAAAGAGGAAAGAGGAAAGAGGAAATAAGGAAGGGGGGTAGGGCCGGCGGCTAGCATGATAATGGGTGATTGATATGAGAGTTTAAAGAAGGCTATATTTAGAATCTTAAAATAGGAAGGTGAATTTAAATCAACTCCTATTTAAAATTCAAAATTGCATGATTTGAGAGACTTCCCTAAAATAGTTTTCCTCGTTTAGGAAGTAAAATTCAAATTCAAATTCAATTGAATATGAATTTAATTAGTTTTCAAAATTAACATGAGCTAATTTAGGAAAGGATTTGAATGCTAGATTTTGAATCATGGAGCCAAAGGATGGATGATGGCCAGCGACTTTGGGAAGGGAATTGGGCCGGCGGTTGGGTGTCTTTTGGCCTAGGGTTTGAATATCATCCACCGTGGATGTCCGCATCATTCAAGAGTTATGTTGAGTAGACAACAGCTGAGGGCAAGATTCAAGATATGGGTCCTGCATTCGTAAATTCTGTGAGCAAGTGAGTTAGCGTAGACAATACACACCTTTTTGGGAGCTTAGAGTGAAAGCAAGAGAGACTATGTGAACCAGAGCATAGGAAAGGGAAAGGTGAGAGGTCAGGCTAGAGTTTCATAAGGAGTGTTGGGGAAAAACTGATGGACCAGTCGATTTGATTGAAGAGAATTATTTAGGGCAAGAGATCTAATT